ATGTGTATTGACCAACTTATCCTTAATTATTGGTCAAATGCACATATTTGACCACACTATAATCAAATAATTACATGAATGCCATTAATGATTGACCATAGTTTAACTTCATCATACTCATTGATATGGTTGATCCTATGGCCCAAATTTATTCTTATTTTTTTGACTATTACTTTCTCATTTGATCCTACTTATATATATATATATATATATATATGTATATATATAGAACCGTGAGAACCGCTATTTTTAATTGTATCTAGTGCTATGATTGATATTTTAGTGATATTTTTAATCAGGATGTATTTTATTAAAAATAGCAACACAATTTATGTTAACATTTGTAAAAATGATAGCACCATGTAAGATTAAAAATAGCATCATACACAATTGAAAGTAGCATCAAATATGGTTCTCACACTAGGATTAGTTTTTATTTGAACCGACCCTTATATATATATATATATATATTCTCCTAACCTTGTGTTTGAAGTTTACACTCATGGAGAATGGCCTATTTTGGGTTTCCATACCAAAATATCTCCTAACATAATTTAAGAATTTTGCCATATTTAATAAACATCTTGACTTGGTAAGACTATATATTTAAATATAGGAATTGTAATTAAGAATTGATGTTAAGAAAATAACAATGTTCGGCCCGCGACCCGGACCGGGAACCGGTCCCGGACCGGCCAGAACCGGCCCTTAACCGGCCACATAAGGGCCGGTTCGTTGGACCGAACCGCAAAGGCCGCGGTTCGGTCCCGGTTGGACCTATTTCTTTTTTTGTCCTGGCGGTCCGGGCCGGGCCGCAGGTTAAAACCGGACGTATGAGTGTCTTTTTATTTTTTTTATTTTTTTAATTCGAACCGGCCCTAAGCACTTTACAGTTCGGTTACGGGCCAAGGTGTTGAGGATCGTTGGCCCAGCGGGCCGGGCCAGGCCGGGCCTGATCATGTTGACTGGCCACCTCTAAATGTTGCATAGAAATATACATAAAAACTTAGTGTAACATTTCTCTGTAAAAGTAAAATAAAAGGCTTTTTACATACATATTCAACTGACTCTTAAATAATTGCAATAATACTTAATGAAAAACTTGTTTGCACATCTACCCAACTTATCATATTTTATTAAAAATATACCTAATTTCAAAATGAGTATATTAATATTAAATTGATATAAAAGACATTCTCTCTCCTCTCTCTTCATTACTCTCTTTGGTATTCCATTAATCTCTTTCTTATTCATCCATTTTTTTTTCATTCTCCTCACTTTTCTCCTTCTCTTCTCTCTCTTCTCTTTATTCCATTTCATTTAAATTTAATTATCTCTCTATGTAAATTTGTAAACTAATTTTTTTACTATAAATATATATCTAGTTTATTTTTTTAGATTATTATTATAAGTTTATAAACCAATTAAAACACACATAAATTATGAATAAACATCAACTTATCAGAATCACCAAAACAAAAAAATATGTTAATATACCAAATATAAACAATGAACAAACATCAAATAAACTTTGAAAAATGAATTAGAAAATCTACTAATATACCAAACGTAAACTATGAATAAACATCAAATAAACTTTATACACCAAAAATATAGTATTCGTATATCGCCGCTGCTCACAAACATACTGGCGTAGTATATTTTCGGACATATACCAAAAATATATTGTACATAAATGCAACATATACTGCCGACATCGCAACAAGCCCGAGCTTCTGTCACCGTCACCGTCTGGCATGACAAATTTGCCGAAGTTCTTCACCCATCCCTATCGGAACTCGCTCTTGAAGGTCGCACCCGACGGCCAAGAGAACCTCGGCCATTGCTTAGTACGAAGAAAGCATAAAAAGCAATATTGAATTCTGGAATTTGCTTGCCCCATCTGTGGGAAAAGTCCTTTTATTTCTCAAGAATTTTTAGGGAGAGTGAAAATGAATGTCGGTTGTCGGCGACTGCATTGTTGGTGTCGCAGCCGCTGCCACCACGTTGAGATCGGTAGTCGTCGCCTGTGTGCATCAACACCGACTTCGCGATTGGGGGTTTTGCCAGCTATAGGGAGGATTTTGGTTTTAGCTATAATAAATGAACATAGGGTTTACTAATGAGGCAATTGCGTTGAATGGATTGTGGGTTTTGATCGTGGGAGAGATGAACATTGATAATGCGTGAAAGGGGGATTAGTTTTGATTTAATTTGGTAACTTATCCTAAAAAATCTGTGTAAATTGAATATAATATATTATTACTCCCTACATTGAAATTCCGTATAAATAAAATTAAACGATTTTGTAATTTTGCTAAACTTTATTATTGAACTGTAAGATTACAAAATTGGGTTGTGCAGTCGTGTTGTAAGTAATTACCTCTAAAATATTGAGTTTGAAGAGAACAAAAGAATCATCATTAACATAGCCCAACCCAACAACAAAATCGGGACAAAATCAGAAAACCCGATTTGGCCCAACTCATTCCGCCCACCGAATTTTATTAAGTAATTTTCTGAGCACTAGGGTAAGACGTGAAAACACCCGTGATTTTCTCCTCGTCTAAGAAATTGCTCGCATCTACTTTGCCTTATCCATTAAGGTACGATGATTTATCCATTATAGTCCGTATTCTAAATATATACTTATATAATAAGAATTAACATTTATCCAAAATAGTAGGTCAAATTATGGTCAATGTCGGATTTGCATTAAGTATTTTCTAAAACTGGTAAGTTTTTGTCCTTTTCACACTTCTCATTAATTATGTCCTTTTCACACTTCTCATTAATTATGTCCTTTTCACACTTTTCATTAATTATATCATTTTCTCACATCTAATTAATTCATTAATTACAACATAATTATCATAAATCATTCCATCTGAGCTGTTATCATTGAAATGTATAGCAATCTGTTATGACCTTATCTCATTGATATTTCCATGAAGCGTCCTTATCGCGTTCTATTTTTTGGTAATCACTCTATATCAATAACCGGATATTTGGTTAATGATAGCACACGTCTTTATTTCAAGGAGCGGATATTATTTGACCTTTAATTAATCTGAACTGATTGCCTTGACTTTTCAATTTTTAAAAACTCTTTTTTTAAATATTTCGGCTTAAGATTCGGATTTCATTGTACAAGTCATCAGATTGTTTGAATGAAAATGAATGAAAAGAACGCCAAAAACAGGTAGCCTTATTCATATAACCAATCCTAAAATATTAGTTTGTTCACCAAAAAGAGACAAATCCTAAAAATCCTAAAATATTAGTTTGTTCACCAATCCTAAAATATTAGTTTGTTCACCAAAAATATTAGTTTGATTTTTAGGATTTGTCTCTTTTGAAAATATTAGCTTGTGATAATGAGGAGTTACCAAATAATCAAACTCATAATGTTGTGTACAATGAGGTTTTTAATAATATATGATTGTTACCGAACTTTTCATGATTCAACAATGTTCCTATGTATTTTAATGATTTCAATTTCGATCCTAATGCACGTGAGGTTATTAAGTACTAGTTTTTAATTAAGCTTTGTATGTTCTTCGAAGAAAATTCTGTTCGGTTCAAATCCCTAATTCGCTCTTTTTTTTTTGTTTTTTTTTTTTGTTTCTCTTNAGCTCCCGATTTCAGTGAAGCTTGTTCTTGCAAGGAGTGTCATCCTAAAATCAAACAGCTCACAGATTTTGAGCCCGAGATTAAGTCCAAGAAAGATCTTGTCACGGTAAGTAGATTACGAATTAGCGAGCTTCAACCATTGTTAATTTCATATTTTCTTCTGTTTGTTAATTATTTTTTGTGGATTTCCCAATAGGATTTTGATGATAAGTTCGACAGAGAGGTTACATACTGTGTATCACTTTCTGACACGGCAAAATGGTCGAGAATTCTGCTGGATATGCTCCACAGACACCTCAAGGAAGTATGCGAGGTAGCAATTGATGCCACTACATGTTAATGATTGAGCTGCCCGGTTCCTCGATTTCTTGTTAAAAAATTAACAGTTTTTCTCGAATTTGAAATTGTTTCAGAAGTTGGGGGTTCCATTTACCCTCCATTCAGATAATAAATTTGGAGATATTGCTGTCCAATTACAGCAAAAGCTGGTAGACCATTGCTTGCTAGACGATGACGAAGTATATGAACCTGATGATAGATACTTACTTCGCCCGATTTCTGATAAAATGCCAAATTTGGTAAGATATGTAAATTCACGTACATTAATTTTCGTTAGTTTGGATTCCTTATAGTGCGCATACGGTTTAAATTAATTTTAACTTGCCCTTGGCTGGATTTGTTGGACAGTTTTTCCAATATGAGCTGAGCATGGTGAAGGATAAGGGTTATCGCATCTTGGACAGTATTGCTAAGCTTGAAGAAGAACATGAGACGAAAAAGAAAGCTGCCCAAGAACATGGGGAAGTGCTAGACCTTCTCATCTCCAAGGAGTACATTGAGGAACAAATTAAGGTGAAATACGATCTCTCTCCCTCTCTCTTTCTTGATTTTCCCGTTTGCTTTGTTGAAATTGGGGAACCGAAAAACATGATTCTATTGGCTAGGAACCGATCCTTAATATTGTCTGGTGAAGGAAGATAAATCGATCATTTCAAGCACCAACTAATACTATACTATAATTAGGTAAGCTTGCCTTGAAAATCGATTTCTATATTGCCGACATAAGCTATCGGTGACTGAGCAGTTAAAGGATTTTCTTTATGCAACAAAATTTGGGAATTTCTGTATATTTCTTCTTTCATGCAAAGCTTCTCGAAACAGAGGAAATGAAGACTGACCCTTATATACAAATGTTTTTTTATTTATTTATATTATCAATTGCTTTTTGTCTTTTTGAGTAGAACACAACTTTCCCTTAACTTCGTATGTTGTTGCGATCTCCTCTTCGACTGTTGAGTATCCCCTTATCGCCATTGCACAATTACATGGCTAAATTGTATTCTTTAACTTGACCATCCCGATCTAAAATGTTGCCTGGTGCAAGCTTGTTATCATTGTCGATGTTAGGTAATTGTTGTGCGGGCCTTGCGGCTTGTTCTTACTTTTGATTTTCTTCGTCAAGAATGATTTCACATGTAATGCATGATGCATTGGTGTGAGTTTGCAATTTGACTATCTGAAATGATGAACTACTGTTCCCACTTGGTGAGTGATTTGAAAAGATCTGTAACATTTCATTTCACAGACTTGGTTTGTTTTCTCAACTTGTTGTGGCCGCCAGAGGGTAGAAAATAAAACGTAACGCATGATTTGCATTCCAAAAAAAATATGTGTAATATCAATATTATGCAGTTGGCGGAGCAGTTGCCAGTTGAGGCATTGCTGGAGCATGCGACAGAGTTGATTCCTATAGCTGTCACGGCTCCACTAACGAGAGTGATGGTGGGAGAAGTGTTGAGTTTGATAGATAAGACTTGCCGTGCTGTAGTTAGAGAACGGAATGTTTTTTGGCAGCAACATCACGGGGTATGTGTATGCGTGTTAGATATCTAAACTAAATATCTTGTTAGGAGGCATTTAATTAGATTTAACTTGTATAAATATTTTCACCAGTGTCTTTCCCCAGCCAGCGAGAGCAAAGGGCACCATTTGAATGGGTTGAATGAGACCCTGGACTCACTGCTCCACAAGGTGCGTCAAATTAAGATGTTGGTAATCAATTGTATCATATTATTATCTATCTGAGTATTATGTTTCTTTATAATACATATTTATATATATATCAAATGGCGTACTCGATGATTAGGTTGATGCATTCAAGAACCAATGGGAGCAAAAGTATACCCAAATCTTTACTCCTTTTCAACAATCGGCCCCTAAAAGGCAACGGACAATTTAGTTGCAAGCTTTGATGGCCAAAGAGGAAGATTGGGTTTATGCTGAGGGTGTGGAGGCTTTTTGTTGAAGTTTGGATGAATTGTTGTTTGGTATTTAACTGATAAGATGGATAGTGACCGCATGTTTTGTAAATGGCCACTCATTGTATGGTGTTTGAGAAGTTGACGTATGATGGATAGTTGGATACTGATTGCTGGTGGTTATGTAAATGACCATGACGGTTTGATTTTTGGGATGTTTGAAAACTTACGGCTGGTTAGATGATAAATTATTTTGTTTATAACCTCACAATCATCAAAGCTGTGCTTATATTTGTTGTGATTTTGCTTTCTATTAAATTCTAGAGTGCTCTGCTTTTGGTGCTTCTGTGTTTCTAGTGCATTTGTTTTATAATAGTAAGAAGCCCGATTGCCTATTCTTTTATTAGCATTTGTCGATCCTCTCTATTGAGATTAGGACTTCAAGTTGATTCTTCACCAGGACGTAATATTATGTTTATGTACTTGTTTATTTAGTTACTTTTTGGAATAAATCAAGTTCAGGATGATTATGTACTTGTTTTTCTAGATACTTTCTGGAATAAATCATGTTTAGGATAATCAAATATTAGCTACAATTGAATGATGTTTGATTTTTTTTTTTTTT